GACCGGATGAGGGAACGAAATGGGGATGGCGAGGCAGGGGGAAACGAGGCGCCGGCGCCGCCTCTGCAGCTGGGGATTCTACCAGCTAGTCGGCCCCTGCACCAACCCGTGGCGCGCCGGCGCACAGCCACACCTACTCCCCGCAACACCCAGCGGCGCTGGCCCCCCTTACAACGCACAATACTCAGAGCGGCCAACCTCTGCCGGTGCCGTCAGAGCTGGTGCTGGTGGCGTCAGAGCAGCCCAGGGCGTGACACACGCATGCACGTCAAGATTGACGCGAATGTTGATCATTTGTTCGGCTCACCCGGGTCGGCGAAGAACAGCGGCTTGGCCACGCTGCCGCCCCACACTGCCGCCCCGTAGTGTGAGGAGTAGAGGTAGGGCAGCAGGCGGTACCGCAGCCGCAGGGCGGCGCGCGCCGCGTTGGCGACATCGGGCCAGCGGTACAGCTCCTGGGGGGCGGCGCCGTACTGCAGGGGGTCGGTTTGCGCGTGTTGCGTTCAGTCATGTGGATTGAGCAAGCGAGGAGTGGGTGGGGAGGTCAGGTGACTTGCTTCTGAAAGGAAGCTGGTGGGTCGGCGGTGCGGCGCCGGCGGCCCGTCAGGCGGAGCCTTTCTGGCCGCCGTACGCCGCTGCTGCATACCGCGGCCGCGCGCGTGCGTCGCGAGAAGCAGAGCAATGCATGGTGCAAGGATTTGAGCCCGGCGGAGCACGAAATTTTCATGCGAGCGAGGGAGGCATGAGATGCTTGATCCCAACACAGGGCAGGCCAGGCGCGATGCAAGGGGAGGGCTGCGCGAAGCGCCAGTGGCCGCGCACTGTGTTGTGATTCCGCGTGAAGGTGTAGAAGGCCCCGGCACTGATCCACCTGGGGGTGTAAGAAGGGAGGGGTGATATGTTGGCGGGTGTGGGGACGGTGGGACGGATGTATGTAGTCAAGTGGGGCTGCAAGAGACCGGGGTGGCGAGGTGCCGGCGCCAGGGCGCGTTGAGCAAAGAGGGTGCGAGGCCAGAGTCACGCGCGTCACGTCTTGCAGGGCGTGCAATGGGCAGCACCACGCGCGTCGCAAGACCTGAGTCGGGGGCTCCGCGTGTGGTCCGCGGCCGCGGTCGCCAGGGCGCGCGGCCGCCCACCACCCACAGCCCGTCGCCCAACGCCTACCGTGCGCAGAGCTCGGGGTTGGTGTCACCCTGGAAGCCGCAGATGTCGGCGCCTGCAGGGGAGGACGAGGTTGGTTGGCGTGAGAGCGGCTGAATATAATGATGGCTCGAGCCGACGACCAGCCCTTGCAAGCCCGGGAAGGGCCAGGCTCTTCAGCAGGCGGGGCCGCGCCCCCCCATGCCTTGGCCCCTCGATCATTGATGAAGCATCCCCCTTCCCACGTGCTGCGTGCCGTGAGTTGTGCGCCCCTCACCGGCCATGGGTATTCCGAAGAGGTTGCTGTTCAGCAGCCCCTGGACACTCCACCGCAGGTTGTCCCTGGGGGGGTGGTGGTGGGTGTGGGGG